TCATTGTTGTGCCATGGGGTAAAAGTTCTTGCTTTGCTTCATTTTCCTCCCATTTGGCTTTGGAAAATTGCATACACACATCTAAAAAGCTCCAAAAGACATTAGGAAATGCAAGAGTCTAAGCTCTCCCTGGGCACACAGGGAGTAAGACAACATCATTGGAAAGTTGCACCAAGTTTCATCTGTGTTTTTGTGTTTTCCTTCTAAACTTGTTAGGATTTTTACCTTTTCAGTTCTCATTCTGTTATTCTGGCTTCTGTGTGTGGTCCTGTTGAGACTCAGAACACTTTTCTGGGATACCAATAGGCATGTGGCCCACCTGTAGCACTGGAGTCTGGGTTAGGGATGTGGCTTAGTAAGCAGCCATGTCACAGCTTTTAGAGCTGTTCTGTAAATTCACTGCTCTTCAGCCCAGACGAGGCAGGAAGAAGCAATGCCTGTAAGAAGCAGTCGTGGGCACAGCTGTGCCTCCAGTAAGCCCTTCTGGGGGCAATTCTTACAGTAAGGCATTGCATGTTCTCGTTGCTCACTAGCCAGGAGAGACCCACAGGGCAGGCAAACTCTGGGGTTTCACAGCCCAATGGGACAAGGTGGAACAAGCAATCTGGTACAGGCAGCCTAGCCAGGGCATGCTGCTGTATGGTTCTCCTGTTCAGGTGAGAAGTGCCATGCTGTTTTACATGTAGATACACCCAGAGGTGTTTCGTTGCATGGGTGTGCAGAGCAGAGCAGTTTTGACATTCTGTGAAGTGGGGGTGGGTCACCCTGTGTGGCTGCACTCGTGGGGTTGGAAATGCTGCTAAAGGCATCAGCTAAGACAGTGCAAAGGAGGAAGGGCTGTGTGCTTTCACTGGAAGTAACTGTCTCCTAATTTTTCCCCTTGGGAGCATTTTTGTTACAGTACGTATCTCTTCCCTGTAAATAGCAAGAATTGGGTGAATGTGATTGTAAAGGTTCCCCTCCTGCTGTGAAGGTGTTATGTGTGTTTGTGGCTGACCTATTGCTTTATCTGCCCAGCCTTTGGCTGTCTGGAGATGAAGAGCTTGCGTGAGGGGGATTTGCCTCCAAACCCTCTTCTGTGAGCCAGGCTGGGAAGGCAGACATTTTGTTATGTACATGAAAAAGAGATTTTAAATTTTTCTTTTGTAGTGAGTTTGAGAGAACTGACTTTAAAAACCTCCAAGTAGCTCACTGTAAATAAATCCAGATGAGCGAAATACTTGTATTTTTACAGCTCTTAAAACACATTTTATAATGGAGATGAAGGACATCTTTGCAGTGGGAGGTATGGGAGTTAAAGCAATATTTGTCATCATCTGCAGTACGAGCAGGCATAGTGCAAATTCTCCTGTATAATTCAATAAAAATGGGGTATGTCTGGCCTATAATATTTATAACTATCATAAAATTTTTTGTTATGCTGCATGCAGTGTCAAATCCATTTTATTCTTTAAATTATGTAAGATGGATCAGAAAAACTTTTATAGAAAATCATCATAAATTCCTGCTTACAAAGACAGCTCTCTTGAAGTGTATTCATTCTTTGAGTGAAAAATATGATTATTGATTGCCTAGTCATAGAATTAGAAAATAATATATTTTTTGTTATTCATTAAAGCTAATTTAAAATGTGTATAATTCAAACATATTACAATAAATTCAGAACTGCAGCACAGTGGAATGTATTGCTATCTGTAAGAACAGTTGTTCAGTATAGTTTTGCAGAAAAATATTTTCCTTATTCTAATTTATTACTACCTCTGCAAAATCACACATCCATGTTTTGTTTAGTCAGTTTTTGTTCCCATACTATCAGTCTTTTGGTGGAATATTTCAGCCACAGCTAATCAATAACAAAGTAGAAGCTTATGTTCAGTTTACTTATTAATTCATTTTCTTATGCCATGATGTTATCAGTGATATTTTAAAACTGAATCTTCTCGAGACAATCCAGCTAAATCAAGGGGAAAAACATATAAGAAGGTTATATCAGAACTGAGGTGTTTGACATTAATGGTTTGTGTGCTGCCACTTCAAATTTCACATACACTCTGAAAAAATTATAAGGCTGATGGTTGATAATTAAAACCAGAAAGATACTGAGTTGTTTGGATTTCATATTGGAAGAAAAAGCACAGTCATTCTTAGTTTACAATTAAAAGATAGAGAATTTGTTAATGTTTCAAGTAGTATTGGATTAATTCAAAGAATTAAATGTAGAACCAACTTTCATTTTTGAGTTAACATTTGGGACCCTTAAGTAAAGCTGATGATGTTTCTGGACAAGAGAAAATCAATAGCATGCCACTTTTAGTATCTACTGAATGTTAGGTAGTTAATAATTTAAGAAAGAGAGCTTGCTGCTACACTTACAAGGTTTTCCCTTTTGTTAAGGAAGGAGACAGGTTCAGTTGCCTGTTGGGTATTCCTTTGTATGCTCACTTTAGTAAATTAAAAATGGCTTTTCCTCAAATAAGAGAAACTGCCCTCAGACTACAGGGCAAGATTTTTTTTTTTAACAGCCTTGATATGAACTACCTGAAAGATGGGAGCCTTTAAAAAACCAGAAAAAGTCTTTCAAAGGTGTTTTGGCTTAACATTATTTTAGCAGCTCTTGAAGACAGAAAGGGAACTGTAGTAGCATCAGATGCAGGCAGAGGTGATTGTGCCTGCTCAAGGACTTGACCAGAATTTCTGCTCAGGGGATGCTCTTGAAGAATGAGCAAAAGCATATTGGGGAGCATGTATCTTTGCAGTTGTGCATTGCATAAATGAAAATTTTTTCTGTCTCCTGACTCTAGCTCAGATCTGGTTTTTTAGCTTCCAGGATGTACAGCACAGATGGTGGAGACTAATTAGGGTGGAGGGCAAAGCCTCTATGTGTTCTTGAAATCCTGTGTCTCTCTGGAGGTCGAGGGTGAAGTTGCAGTGGCACAGGCATCCTCGGGGCTGATGTGGGCGATGGCAGCCTCCCTGGCTCTGCCTGCTGTTCGTGATGCAAAGCTGTAGCAGCTGTCTAACACACTTCTGTCTAACACACAGGACAAATTTCTCCATCCCTCCATCTGACTCAACCAACAGAAGCATGTCCATGCATGGAGGGGTCCTGTATCAAGCCCTGCAGCAATCCCAGCAGATGCACAAGCAGCATTTGCCGTGCAGATCAGCCTTGCTGCCGGGGCTCCTTTATATTGGTTGCCTTGCTTGGGCTTGTATTTTACCAGTGTTGCTGCAAACAGAACTCTGACAAATTGCTGCCTTTCACCTTTTCCAAGTGTCAGAGCTCTCGGAGGGCAGGATGGCTTCAGAGATATGCCAATAATTTCCTTGTACTAGCCCTGGTACTCAGAGATGCAGCAATGTTTCCATATGCCCTCCAACAGCTCATGCTGAGCTTTGTCTGTGCTGAAACTTGCACTGTAGCAGGCTGAGACTTAGTCTGGGAGCCTGGGGTTCGTTCCATCCCTAAGCCATTCCCATCCTTTCCTTCTTCCCAGAAAACAAGAAAAAGTCACAGCTAGGCTTGTCTCTCATTTGCATCTGTCCATAACCCTCATGGCAGTTCTCAGTCCCAGCCACTGTTACAGATGTGATTACACACAGTTTACAGCAGTAAATGACATAGGGAGATGCTAATCAAAGCCTTTGTGGAGCCTCATCATGTAATTTGTGTTGTGTTTCTTTCACTGTGCCACCAGTCAGCATCACTCATGTTCAGTCTTAAGTTCTCCATTTGTAGGTATGCTGTGTTCCACCCAAACATTTTGTTTTCTCTGTGGCCTTCTTGAGTTTCTTCCCCTCCCACTGCTTCTCTAGTTGCTTCATTAAACAGCAAGAAGCCACAGGTGAATCCCCATGGCTGTTTGCCATACTAAAAAAGAACCCAAAAATATCTCTCAGCCCAAGAGGCAGCAACAAAGCAGAACTGTCAGGTGGCAGGAACCCCCAAAACAGCGTAGATGCACAGCATGTGCAATTTAAAATGGTCATGTAATGTGTGATCATCAGGTCAGGCTGACATCAGGATGGGATGTTGGGATGTTAAAGGCTTTTTAGTGGGCACATGAAGGAGCATGAGGATTAAGCTGACACTCTCTCATGTCTTGTATGCAGAGGGGGCCTTTCTGCTGTATCATATTTATGGGTGTTAGAGAGAAGCACCCAATAAGGATTCTCCATGAGTTATGTCCATCTACATTTAAATGACAAAGGTGATGTCCACTTGTAAGTAATTAAATTTTAATAAAATAAGAAAAATTTATAGCATTCAAGTTAATGCTATAACTGAGCAGTGTAACTATCCCTCACACAGCCTCAATACATGATATAATTTATGCATGAGCTCAGAATTCTCTGCAAGATGCTGAAATCAACATCGCATGATGGGGATGTGGATACTTATTTTAGACACTGAGTTTGAAAATTGTGGTTTTTGGAAATTTATGCAAAAATATTGCCAAAATAAGCATTGAAAACCTAATTTCAATATGCAGCTGCTTGTAAGCATGGTAATTAAGATATATTGGGTAAATTTACTACATCTGTTCTCACCCACACCAGTGAGAGAGAAGTTGCAGATTTCAGATGTAGACTCACCAGAGCTTTCAAGTCCAGCCAGGACCCAGGAGAAAGCTGTCTGGGATAGCAGGTCTGCTGCTTAACCTGGTCTTTTCTCCCTCCACTGCTCAGAGCTTTGATGGAGGGAGTGTTGTTGGGATCGCCCAGCTCCCACCTCTTGAAAACACTTTTCACAAATGGACTCACAGTCCTGCGGGGAGGGAGAGAGAGAGTCAATCAGCACTATCTGGATAAAGAAACCAAAGTGAGGTTTAGACATTTTTCTTGTCAGGAGTCAATCAGTGTCAACTTTACATGCCGTCACCAGTCACTCACTGCTCTGAATGCTGTGTTTACCCTCTGCAGCAGGAGATCTGTACTCCTTCTAGCTTGCTGCTCCTCTGAAATAAATCAACAGGTTTTACCTCTACTTTTTCCTTCAGCTGGGGTGATGCTGGTCCCTGAAAGGAAGACGGAGGATGGGTTTGAGGAGCACTTCGGCTTGAACTACTTGGGACACTTCCTGTTGACTAACCTCCTCTTGGATACGCTGAAGCAATCAGGAACGCACAGTCACAACGCTAGGATCATCACTGTCTCATCAGCCACCCATTATGTAGGCAAATTGCACCTAAACGACTTACAAAGCAGGTACCGATCCCTTTTTGGTATTCACTGGTCTGTAGTAATCCTGTGCAGATTAAAATACAAGAAAATCGTTACTGACTATGAGATGCGGTTTTGTTGCCTTTTTTTTTTTTTTTTTTTTTTTTTTTTTTTTTTTTAATAGAATTTAAGGTGGTTCTCAAGCACTTGCGTATTGTATTCAACATTTGATCAAAGCTTGCAGCCTTGAGCCAAAGGTACAAATAATTTATAAATTCTGAACGGCGTCTTTTATTCTGGAATATCTAAAACCTCACTTTGCTTTCTGATGCTTATTCTGCGGTGATGCCTGTGGTCCACGAGGCGCCCGGACTCGCCACTACCTAATCAGGGAGAGACGCTCCGTAACCGGGATGTTTTGACACGGCTTGGGTGGATGCTAATAGACCTGGTCCCCGAGAGGATGCGTGCACAGAGCCCACAGATGAGCTCAGACAGCCGCCTGTGGCTGCTCGCTGCCTGCCGGCGAGCCGGGATGCTGACTGGGCTCCGGGGGCAGCTGCCTTCCCGCCCAGCTGCCTGGCGCACAGCCGCGGCGCCGGCCCTCTGCCGCTCCTTCCCGCCCGCCAGCTCCCTCGGCCTCGGCCTCCGCCTCGTCCTGCTCTGCTCCTGACATCCCCGTCTCCGCCCGCGGCTTCCCGCACGGCCCTTCTCCGGCTTCCCCCACCCACACTGTGTCGTCCTGCCTGTCCCCGTCCGAGCCCTGCGGCCCCTGCCCTGTCACACACCAGCCTGGCCAACGCTGGACCCTGGCTCGTGTCGGTGTCACCCCCTGTGCTTCCCCAAGAGACCCAGGCTGTGGCCACACTGGGTTTGTAATCCAGTAAAATGGGCTTAAATGCATGGATGACTTCTGACCTCCTGCTTTCGTCTAGGAAAACTGTGGATGAATGTCTGTGGGATATTTCTAATGTTAGGAAGACATCAAATGATGTGGTAAATGTCTCTGATGTCGTACAGGAACCACGTGGAGTGGTTTGGTTAGCAGAGAAAAAGGCAGGATAACAGATAAATTTCAATATTTCCCCATGCAGTCATGCGTGGCAATTACGTGCTTACTAACAGGCTCAAGCAGAGCCTGCCTTCTCGTGGGGCTCCAGAGAGCTGCTTCTGCCTGTCTGCATGGAGCCAGTCTGACTTCTGTGTCATTTCCATGAAAATCTGTCTCCATCCTTTGACAGGGACTTCAGCAGATGATCAGAGGTTTCATCAAACCTGGCCCAAGGTTTCATTTCTGAACAAAGACTGAAATTAAGGGCTGGGCTGTTTCCACTGCAGACATTTTACATATGAATGCTGCATTAGGCATGTCAAACTTCTGATTACATATTATGGCATCAGTTTTATTACAAGCCATTGTTTAAACCTCGGCAGGGTAGTCACAATTTAATCTCTTGCTTGTAAAACAACCACAGGAAATTACCCTTACTCTTCACTTGATGTATGTAGTCATTGTTTCTGATGGCCATGTGCTGGGTGGCACCATGAAAGGGGGCTAAGGGGATTAGTATTTCTTGGGCTAAAGTGCGGAATGCAGAATTAAATGTGACTGTTCTGTGTCTCTAGATAACAGTAGTTTCCTTTATTATAGCAAGGCCTTGTACTGTGCCCCTTTAATTTAGGATCATCCCTGTGTTTGATTTGTCATTATTAACTCATATTTTAAAGGAAATGTTTTGGTTTGGAAAGTTATGGTTGAGCAAGAACATGACCAGTCTGACATAAAGAATAATAATATACCAGTGAGATTTACCTGCAGCATTTTTGTCCTTTACCTTTCAACATTATTGATGTAAGAAGGGCCATAAAAGATGACAGACTCTTGACTGATTTTGCCTGCTCATTCCCACACAGATATTCTGAATCATTCAGAGGTAGCAGTGGTGCCTGCACATATGCACGCTGGTGAAACCCAGAGTGGGCTGTAAATTCAGGCCTAAACCTTTGCTTGGTTCAGGTGTAAAATGATGCTCCTGGGTATTTTTTTTTCAGCCTAACTGACAACAAGCCCCCACTCAGACAAATAGTTTGACATCACCATAAACAGCGCTGCAAAAACCAGTGAGATCACTTGCATGTTTGAGTGTGTCCCTACAGTGTGAGCAGGGGTTTAGCAGGAGAACTGCTGGGGAGTATCATAACCAGGCATTGCCTCCTCCGCAGGGCCCTGGAGATGCCTTGTGATTCAGAGCAACATTCAGGAGATTTAATGGATGTGGTAAAGACACCCATGGTGAACAGTTTCCTGGTGATGCCATATCTCATTTTTACTGCTTATGTGAATGGGAAATCATTCTAAAAATTTTCTACTCTTTTTTTTTCTTCTTTATTTTGAGTTGTGCCAGTTGGCCATAATTCATTTTACCACTTAGGTGTATGTTCCCAGGTTGGCTGGTAGTCCTAACCTAGCAGGAAAGCAGCAAAAACCATCTGGAGTCATTAATGGAGAAAGGGGGATGTACTCTGTGCTGGGGAAATTGCTGTTGGCAGCAGGCTGAATTGTTTACCATCCTCTTGTCCCATTATTCCTAGATGCTAGTTGGGCTAGTGTCCTGACTAGAGGTGAGAGACAGTACTGGGGCAGGGATTCTATCCATCAAGCATGGCAGAGAAGAAAGGGCAGAAGACTTGTCTTGACTTAAAGGAGACAGTAAACTGAGGTTCAGTTCTCTGCTTTACCACAGACTTTTCTGTGGAATCCTTCTCCCACCCAGCAGACTCTGGGTTGGAAGTCACATTTGTCGCCATTTCTCCTCATTGCTTGCACTTGCTGCTGAGAGATCTGATCTGAAACCAGACATCATCCATATCAGAGACCACAGGGCAACTGCATAACAAATATTTGTTGGAAGGCCTGTCCCACGAACAGTGTTATATGAAGTTGGTGTTACTGTCCTCCATGTTTCCTCTTTAGTTTGTTTCCTGCCGTTTTACCAACCTGATTTATCCCATGTTGCTCTGGTTAGCTCTTTTCAGTGGGTTAATTTAATTTTGTCCTTTTGCATTTTGCATTATTTTTCTTCCTTAGTTGTCTCTTTCTTCATGCTTGCCTGCTTCTTCATCTGTGTCTTTTGAACTTTTTTCGTTTAAATTGCCTTTTCCCTCCCTATTTCTTTTTTTCTTTTTTTTCTTTGAGGCTGTCTTATTTCTACCCACCAATTTATCTCCTCCTCTCCATTTATCTTCCTCTCATCTTTTCCCCCAGCCCCTCTTCTGTCTCTTCCCTACGAATGCCATTTCTCTCCCTTCCTGCCCTCCTCTTCACACACACCAGCGGAAGAGACATGGCATGGGTACATCAAGGCAGGATAGAGCTTGTTCCAAACAGGCAGGGCACAGCTTGTTTCATGTGTGTTATTGAAAATGCAAACGCACACGCACAAGAGCACTGACTGTTCTCCCAGTTCTTTTGCTGAAGGATATATATGAAGAACATCAAACGCCTTTGTGGTCTTTTAGATCCAGACCATTTTCAACAATTTCCAGCAATCACATGAGTCGACAAGGGGATCCCTAAGGCAAATCATTCCCCTTCATCCCTTCTTTGAACACGACTCTTCTCAGGGAGGTGAAAGTTTAAGAGAAACACAACCTATCTGCAAGCATTTCCACAGTGGTGATTTCAGCAATTCCGTGCAGAGGGTAGTAAGTACACTGATGTGCTCCAGCAGCACAGCTAGCATGGCCTTCTTCCCTATTCTGCCTGCCTTTAATAATACTTTCTAAATAGAGACGGGAAAAAAAGTACGGTCATGAGAGAATATGGCTGTCTGGTTTTAGCAAAAGCTTGAAGAGTAGTGTACCATCCACTTGGGTTGAGGTAGGCTTGAGCAGTGCACGGGAGTTCATGGTGCTCTTTCAAGGCTGAGGTATAGAACACTCCTTTGAGTGCTCTACCTACCAAAGTGAGAAGGTATTTTTAGGAAAATAAAGAAAAAAAGACAGTATTCTCTTTCCCAGGCTGTGGATCACACTTGAATATGCTCCTTTCCCAGGGGTTAGCATCTTTGTATGTTCTGTCTAGCTTTTTCTCCATGACTAACTATTCCTTTCATCATCCTCTCTTTTGGCATACCAAATGGGCCCTGTAATGCTGTGAATCACAGATCTATGAACTCCCCAGCCACAGTAACACAGCTCCTTTTCTGGTTCACATCTCTTGTATATTCAAGAACAGTTAGTCACACTTTTCTGCTCCCTTTCCTCTGCTCTCCAACTGCAGAAGGAGCTGATTTTTTTTAAACTCTCCAAGCTGAATATAATATATTAGATATAATTTCTGTATTTTCCCTGTAGCCCGAGTGTATGAATCATGTCAGAGACAAGAGAAGTTATATGAAAAGAATTACAAAATTCCCAGCTGCCACATGTGTGTCCTAGCTGGTGTAAAATAGGATAAACAGCTCTGCCCTAGACCTAGGAAGATTCTGGAGAGACCAGGCAGCTGCAGTTCATCTCCTCTGGTAGGCAGCTCACAAAGAACTGTAACAGGAAGTGTTAGGTACTGATGGGAAAATCTGTCTTGCAAACTATCTGGAGATCTCCAGTTCTTGGATGAGGGGTGTCCTTCATCTTATCTTCTGCCATGTATGTGAAGTTTGTTGGTTAAAAATTTTGTATTAAGTTTGGGCAGAAAGCTGAGGATTTTTTTCCTTCAGCATTACTGAAATTTTGGAAAATATTTTCCATGAACAGCAACTAAAAGTTAAGATGTTGAATTACTTTTGGAAAATATCCATTTTTGAAACAAAAACATTTGATTTCAGTATGCTAAAATAATTTTAAAAATTTATTTGTAATTATCCCTATGAGTACATTGGTATTCAGATTTTGAAGTATGACAATAAAACTGAAACCCCCAACCTTTAATTTCTAAACCATTCTTTTGAAGTATTTCTGTCAGTTTCAAATTACTTATTCGTTTTTTGTTGTTGTTGTTTGTTTTTTTGTTGTTGTTGTTTTTTTTTAAGCTGGACATTTGAGTA